TTTTCCCTTTTTTAGAGACAGTCTCACTCTGTCGCTGAGGCTGGAGTGCAGTGGTGCGATCTTGGGTCACTCCCACCTCCACCTCCCGGGTTTAAGCGATTCTCCTGCTTCAGCCTCCTGAGTAGCGAGTAGCTGGGATTATAGGTGCCTGCCACCATGCCCAGCTAATTTTTTGTATTTTTTTGTGTTGAGGGGGATGGAGTCTTACTCTGTCATCCAGGCTGGAGTGCAGTGGCGCGCTCCTCAGTTCACCACAACCTCCTCCTCCCAGATTCAAGCGATTCTCCTGCCTCAGCCTTCCCAAGTAGCTGGGGTTACAGGCGCCTGCCACCATGCCCTGCCTAATTTTTTTTTTTAAAGGCAGTCTTACTCTGTCACCCAGGCTGGAGTGCAGTGGTGTGGTCATAGCTCACTGCAGCCTCCACCTCCTGGGCTCAAGTGATCCTCCCACCTCAGCCTCCCAAGTAGCTGGGACTACAGGCATGCGTCACCACGCCTAATTTTTGAAAAGATGGGGTCTTGCCATGTTGCCCAGGGTGGTCTCGAACTTCTGACCTCAAGTGATCTGCCCACCTAGGCCTCCCAAAGTGCTGGGATTACAAGCATGAGCCACCTTGCCCAGTCCCTACCTGGACTTTGGACTTACTGTTTTGTTCCGGAAGTAGCTGGACCTAACTCACTCTGGCTGGCCGGGAGGGCGAGGGGAAAGATGGTTTAAATATCTTGAACCAAACTGAACTTTGGACTGTCTGAAGTTCGAGGACCTGGAGATTGTTGTCCTGGATCAGAGATTTAGGAGGGGGTGGGGTGGGGGTGAGGTGGACGTGGCCGAAGGTAACTAGGTCTCAACCAGCAGGGGCATGTCCTCACCTCAGGGAAATGGCAAGGGTGACTGGACGGGAACCAGAATTTTCGAGTCTCATCGTTTTTACAGTTGTGTGACATGAGACAAGCAATCCAGCCATTCTGACTCTTACCTTTTTCTTTCTTCTTTTTTTTCTTGAGACAGAGTTTCTCTCTTGTTGCCCAGGCTGGAGTGTAGTGGTATGATCTCAGCTCACAGCAACCTCTACCTCCCAGGTTCAAGTGATACTCCTGCCTCAGCCTCCTGAGCAGCTGAGCTTACAGGTGTGCACCACCACACCCGGCGAATTTTTATATTTTTAGTGGAAACAGCGTCCCACCGTGTTAGCCAGGCTGGTCTCGAACTCCTGACCTCAGGTGATCCACACGCATCAGCCTCCCAAAGTGCTGGGATTATGAGCCTCTGCACCCAGCCATGAGTATTACTTTTCTTTTTCTTTTTTTTTTTTTTGAGATGGAGTCTTGCTCTGTCACCCAGGCTGGAATGTAGTGGCCTGATATTGGCTCACTGCAGCCTCCACCTCCCGGGTTCAAGCAATTCTTTCTCGGCTTCCTGAGTAGCTGGGATTACAGACCCCCACCACCATGCCCAGCTAATTTTTGTATTTTTAATAGAGACGGGGTTTTACCATGTTGGCCAGGCTGGTCTTGAACTCCTGACCTCAAGTGACCCACCAGCTTCGGCTTCCCAAAGTGCTGGGATTACAGGTGTAAGCCAGCACGCCCAGCCTGACTCTTACTTTTCTGATTAGAAACTCTCTCCCTTGGATCCTTTGAGGCCAGGTGTTTGAGACGGTTGAGCAACAGAGCAACACTGCGCCTGGCTGAAACCCTGTCTCTTACGCAAACAAAAAACGTTGGGTGCGGTGGCTCGCGCCTGTAATCCCAGCACTTTTAGAGGCCAAGGTGGGTGGATCACTTGAGATCAGGAGTTGGAGACCAGCCTGGCCAATGCGGTGAAACCCCATGTCTACTGAAAACACAAAAATTAGTGAGGAATGGTGGTAGGCGACTGTAGTCCCGGCTACTCAGGAGGCTGACTCAGGAGAACTGCTTGAATCCACGAGGTTGCAGTGAGGTGACATGCCACTGCACTCCAGCCTGGGCAACAGTGACACCCTGTCTCAACAACAAAAGAAGAGGAGGAGGGAGAGGAAGGAAAAGAAGGAGAAGGAGGAGACTGCTTCTGTCTTTGTTTTTTTTTCTTCTTCTTTTCTGAGACAGAGTCTCACTCCGTTGCCCAGGCTGGAGTGCGGTGGTTCGACCCCGGCTCACTGCAGTATCTGCCTCCCAGGTTCAAGCAGTTCTCCTTCCTGGGATCCCAAGTAGGTGGGACTACAGGAATGTGCCACCATGCGTGGCCAATTTTTGTATTTTTAGTAGAGATGGAGTTTTACCATGTTGGCCAGGCTGGTCTCAAACTCCTGACCTCACATGATCCACCTGCCTTGGCCTCCCAAAGTGCCGGGATTACAGGCGCGCACCCCTGTGCCCTGCCTCAAGTTCCGGATTCCTCAACCAGTTAGATTTTTAAAAAAATTATTATTAACAAAAAAATGCCCGTAATCCCAGGCCTGTGGGAGGCCGAGACAGGTGGACCAGCTGAGGTCAGCAGTTTTGGACCAGCTTGGCCAACATGGTGAAACCCCGTCTCTACTAAAATTACCAAAATTAGCCGGGCGTGGTGGCAAGCCCCTGTAATCCCAGCTATTTCAGAGGCTGAGGCAGGGGAATCTCTTGAACCTGGGAGGCGGAGGTTGCAGTGAGCTGAGATCACGCTAATGCACTCCTGCTGGGCGGCAAGAGCGAAGAAAAAAAAAAAAAGGTAAGTGGTCTCACCCTTAGGCTGTTTGCCATCTGGCCTCCAGGTGGCGCTGTCAGCCTGCCTCTCGACTTGCGCGGACGTCAACCTCAGATCAACCAAGGGCCCCTGGATCCTGGAGTTCCTGACACTACCTCGAACAAGGCCCTGGACCTAAGTGTGTGAGTTCCGATTCTAATTTGATTTTCCAATTGATTTAATTTTTTTTTTTGAGACATGGGCTCACTGTGTCGCACAGTCTGGAGTGCAGTGGTGGTGTGATGTTGGCTCATTGTAACCTCTGCCTCCCGGTTCAAGAAATTCTCATGCCTCAGCCTCCCTAGTAGCTGGGGTTACGGGCATGGACCACCACGTCTGGCTAACTTTTGTATTTTTGGTAGAGACAGGATTTCACCATGTTGGCCAGGCTGGTCCCAAACTCCTGATGTCAGGTGATCCGCCTGCCTCGAGCTCCCAAAGTGCTGGGATTGATTACAGGTGTGAGTCATGGCTCCTGGCCTTTTAAAAAAAATTTCAAAAACTAGTATTATTGTCCTTGAGACAGAGTATTGCTCTGTCTCCCAGGCTGGAGTGCAGTGCAATCTCGGCTCACTGCAACCTCCACCGTCCGGGTGCAAGCGAACTGGGACTACAGGCACACCTGGCTAATTTTTGTATTTTTAGTAAAGACAGGGTTTCATTAGCCAGGATACTCTCAATCTCCTGACCGCTCGATTCGCCCGCCTAGGCCTCCCCACGTGGTGATTGCAGGCCTGAGCCACTGCCCCCAGCCCCAAGCCCTGCATTCATTAACCGGTTTCAGTTGAGTGGCCTCACCTTTGTTTGCCATCTGGCCTCCAGGTGGCGCTGTCGACCTGCCTCCTCGACTTGTCCAGATTGTGCCACCTCAGGTCAACCAAGAGACCCCAGGCGACTGTCCCTGGAGCCTGGAGCTCAGGACACCACTTTGAACAAGGCCTGAGAGTTGATCTTCTGGAGTTTTGGATCTAATTTGATTGTCCGATTATTGTATTTCGGTCTTTGATCGATCAGGGTGGTCCTTGAGGCTCAGGAAGCAGTGTTTGGAGATGAAGGTGCCTGGGTGCTCTTAAAACATGTTTCTGAGCTGGGCATGGTGGCATGTGCCTGTAGTCCCAGGTCCTTGGGAGTCTGAGGCAAGAGGATCCCTTGAGTCTACAAGTTCCAAGCCAGCCTGGGTAATATAGCAAGACCCTGACTCACACACACACACACACAAAAGGCTTGATGTCATCCCATGTGTTGATTTTTCCTTTTGTTGCCTGTGCTTTTGAGGCCTCACACGCACAAAAATCTTTGTCCAGACCAACATCCGAGCATTTTACCAATGTTTTCTTTCTTTCTTTCTTTCTTTTTTTTTGAGGCGAAGTTTTGCTCTTGTTACCCAGGCTGGAGTGCAATGGCACGATCTCGGCTCACCGCAACCTCCGCCTTCTGGGTTCAGGCGATTCTCCTGCCTCAGCCTCCTGAGTAGCTGGGACTACAGGCACGCGCCACCATGCCCAGCTAATTTTTGTATGTTTAGTAGAGATGGGGTTTCACCATGTTGACCAGGATGGTCTCGATCTCTTGACCTCGTGATCCACCCGCCTCGGCTTCCCAAAGTGCTGGGATTATAGGCGTGAGCCACCGTGCCTGGCCTTTTTTTTTTTTTGAGATGGAGTCTCACTCTGTCACCCAGGCTGTAGTGCAGTGGCTCAATCTCAGCTCATTGCAACTTCTGCCTTCCAGGCTCAAGCGATTCTCTTGCCTCAGTCTCCCCAGTAGCTGGAATTACAGGCACCCACCACCGCAGATGGCTAATTTTTGTATTTTTAGTAGAGACAGGGTTTCACCATATTGGTCAGGCTGGTCTCGAACTCCTAACTTCATGATCCGCCCACCTCGGCCTCCCAAAGTGCTGGGTTTACAGGTGTGAGCAACCTTGACTGGGCCAGTTTTTGTATTTTTGTAGAGATGGGGTTTTACCATGTTGCCCAGGCTGGTCTCAAACTCCTGGACTCAAGTGGTCTGTCTGCCTCAACCTCCCAAAGTGCCAAAGTGCTGGGATTACAGGCATGAGCCACCATGCCCGGCCTCCAGAGTTTTCTTCTAGGAGTTTCATAAGTTCAAATACATATATATATATATATATATATATATATATATATATATATATATAATTATTTTTTAAAATTATACTTTAAGTTCTGGGGTACATGTGCAGATGGTGCAGGTTTGTTACCTAGGTATACACGTGCCATGGTGGTCGTTTGCTGCATCCACCACCCTGTCATCTACATTAGGTATTTCTCCTAATGCTATGCCTCCCCAATCCCCTGACCCGCTGCTATTCCTCCCCTAGGCACCCCCCCCCGCCCTTTTTTTTGAGACATAGTCTCCCTCTGTTGCCCAGGCTGGAGTGCAGTGGCACAGTCTTGGCTCACTGCCACCTCCTCCTCCTGGGTTCAAGCGATTGTCCTGCCCCAGCTTCCTGAGTAGCTGAGACTACAGGTGCCCACCACTACACCTGGCTACTTTCTGTATTTTTAGTAGAGACAGCATTTCACTACGTTGGCCAGGCTGGTCTTGAATTCCTGACCTCGTGATCTACCCGCCTCAGCCTCTCAAAGTGCTGGGATTACAGGTGTGAGCCACTATGCCCGGCCCACAATTTCAAATCTTAGATGTAGGTCTGTAATCCATTTTGATTTGATTTTTTTATGTGGTGAGAGATAGGAGTCTAGTTTCTGTTTTTTGTGTTTTTTTTGAGATGGAGTTTTGCTCTTGTTGCCCAGGCTGGAGTGCAGTGGCGTGATCTTGGCTCACTGCAACCTCTGCCTCCCAGGTTCAAGTGACTCTCCTGCCTCAGTCTCCCGAGTAGCTGGGATTACAGTCATGCACCACCATGCCCGGCTAATTTTGTATTTTTAGTAGAGACAGGGTTTCGCCATGTTGGACAGTCTGGTTTCAAACTCCTGACCTCAAGTGATCCACCTCAGCCTCCCAGAGTGCTGGGATTACAGGCGTGAGTTTAGTTTCACCTGCGCCCGGCCAGGAGTTTAGTTTCATTCTTCTGCACATAGCAAACTAGTGGCACGTTCTCGGCTCACTGCAGCCTCCACCTCCTGAGTTCAAGTGATTCTTCTGTCTCAGCCTCCTGAGTAGCTGGGACTACAGATGCCTGCCACCACACCTGGCTGATTTTTGTATTTTTATTGAGCAGTATTTTATTGAAGAAACTGTCCTTTCTCCACTATATATATATATTTTTTTGCGACGGAGTCTCGCTGTGTTGCCCAGGCTGGAGTGCAGTAGCATGGTCTTGGTGCAACCTCCGCCTCCTGGGTTCAAGTGATTCTCCTGCCTCCGCCTCCCGAGTAGCTGGGACTACAGGCATGCTCCACCATGTGTTTGTATTTTTCATAGAGACGGGGTTTCACTATGAAAACCCAGCCAGGCTGGTCTTGAACTCCTGACCTCAGGTGATCCACCCGCTTTGGTGTCCCAAAGTGCTGGGATTACAGGTGCGAGCCCTCACTCCTGGCCCCCTACTGTATGTCCTTGGTGCCTTTGTTGAAGATGAGTTGGCTGTAAATGTGTGGTTTTATGTCTGGGATGTTAACGAAGTGGATCATACTTGAGCCCAGGAATTCGAAGCTGGATCTATAATCAAGCTACCGCACTCCAGCCTGCGTGACAGAGTGAGATCCTGTCTCAAAAAAATAAGACATGCACGGTGGCTCATGCCTGTATTCCCAGCACTTTGAGAGGCTGAGGCGGGTGGATCATGTGACTTTGGGAGTTTGAGACCAGCTTGATCAACATGGAGAAACCCCCGTCTCTACTAAGAAACCCCGTCTCTACAAAGTTAGATGGGTGCGGTGGTGCGTGCCTGTAATCCCAGCTACTCAGGAAGCTGAGGCAGGAGAATCCCTTGAACTGGAGAGACGGAGGTTGCAGTGAGCAGAGATTGAGCCATTGCACTTCAGCCTGGGTGACAAGAGCAAAACTCTGTTTCAAAAATAAAAATAAAGTAGATCTGGCCGGGCGCAGTGGCATGTGCCTGCAGTCCCAGCTACTCGGGAGGCTCAGGTGGGAGGATCGCTTGAGCCCAGGAGTTCTGGGCTTTGATCTATGCCGATCGGTTGTCTGTACTAAGTTCGGCATTGATATGGTGACCTCCTGGGAGCGGGGGACCACCAGCTTGCCTAAGGAGGGGTGAACTGGCCCAGGTTGGAAACGGAACAGGTCAAAACTCCCGTGCTGATAAGTAGCGGGATTGTGCCTGTGAATAGCCACTGCACTCCAGCCTGGGCAACATAGCGAGACCCCATCTCTAAAAAATAAAAATAAAATAGAGTGGATCTCATGAAGATAGAGAGTAGACTGGTGGTTGCCAGAGGCTGGAAAGGGTTGGGGGAAAGTGGGGTGAGGAGAAGTTGATTAATGGGGACAAATATATGGTTTGATAGAAGTAAAACGTAGTGGGCCGGGTGCAGTGGCTCACGCCTATAATGCCAGCACTTTGGGAGGCCGAGGCGGGTGGATCACAAGGTCAAGAGATCGAGACCATCCTGGTCAACAAGGTGAAATGCTGTCTCTACTAAAAATACAAAAATTAGCTGGGCATGGTGGTGCGCACCTGTAGTCCCAGCTACTTGGGAGGCTGAGGCAGGAGAATTGCCTGAACCCAGAAGGTGGAGGTTGCGGTGAGCCGAGATCGCGCCATTGCACTCCAGCCTGGGTAACAAGAGCGAAACTCCGTCTCAAAAAAAAAGGAAGCAAAACGTAGTGTGAGATCATTAGGGTGACTGCACTTTACAGTAGTCTATAGTCTATTCACACCAGCTAGAAGAAAGAACTGGGCTGTTCTAGCGTAAAGAAATGACTAGGCCGGGCTCATGCTATAAACCCAGCACTTTGGGAGGCCGAGGTGGATGAACTGCTTGAATCCAGGAGTTTGAGTCCAGCCTGCACAACATGGTAAAATCCCGTCTTTACTAAACATACAAAAAAATGAGCCGTGCATGGTGGTGCACACCTGTAGTCCCAGCTACTTGGGACTGTGAGATGGGAGAGTCATCTGAGCCTGGGAAGTTGAGGCTGCAATGAGCCACGGCTCATGCCTATAATCCCAGCACTTTGGGAGGCCGAGGAGGGCAGATCACATGGTCAAGAGATCGAGACCATCCTGGCCAACATGGTGAAACCTTATCTTTACTAAAAATACAAAAATTAGCTGGGTGTGGTGGCGTGCCTGTAGTCCCAGCTACTTGGGAGGCTGAGGCAGGAGAATCACTTTAACCCAGGAGGTGGAGGTTACAGTGAGCAGAGATTGCCCCACTGCACTCCAGCCTGGATAACAGCATGACTCTGTTTCAAAAAAAATAAAAAGAGGCCAGGTGCAGTGGCTCACACCTGTAATCCCAGCACTTCAGGAGGCCAAGGCAGGCGGATCATTTGAGGTCAGGAGTTTGAGAGCAGCCTAACCAACATAGTAAAACCCCATCTCTTCTAAAAATACAATAAAATTAGCCGGGTGTGGTGGTGCATGCCTGTAGTCCCAGCTACTTGGGAGGCTGAGGCAGGAGACTTGCTTGAACCCAGGAGGCGGAGGTTGCAGTGAGCCATGATCGCGCCACTGCGTTCCAGCTTGGGCGACGAGCAAGCTCCTGTTCATAGATATATGTGCCCATATATACATGGGATTGGGCAGGAGGGAGGTGGCCTTTTGCAGGGCTGCAGGGGCAGGTATGAGGGAACCAAGGGTGGGTGAGAGGGGCTGGACCTGACGTAAAAGTATGCAGGGCTGGCTGGGACTGGGGGAAGCTCACAGGGGGAGAGATGATAGCTGTGACGGGTTTGACAGGAGACCGCAGCGTGGGACCGGCCACCATTCCAGGCAGGGCAGGGGCGGCAGAGATAGGAGCCCAGATGGAACGTAGGCGCTGTATATAGCGGACGTGGCTGTCATCGCCGATTCAGGATGTGGGTGGGATGACATTGGTTTCTGTGTCTGTCCCCTCTGCAGTCTCCTCTGCAATGGCTGCCCCCGTCTGCTTGTGCTGACCTGGCCTTCAGGAGGTGCTCAGCTGACCCTGGTGAGGGAATAGGAGTGAGTAGTCCTCACAGTAACTGTGTACTCGAGACAAACACCCAGGCAGAAGCCAGATCTCGTAGGACTCACGGTGGGAGACGGAGCCGGGCGTCCAGCGCGTCCTTGGCTAGCCGCGTCCCACGATGCAGGGTCATTTGTAGACACTGTCTACTCCTCCTTTCTTGCTTGTATTACTGCTGTGGGTTGAACAGCATCTGCCTCAGTCTGGTTGGACTGCTATAGCAAAGTATTGTAGACTGGGCGATTTATAAACGACAGAAACGTGCAGCTCACATTTCTGGAGGCACAGAAGTCTAAGACCAGGACTCTCTCTTTTTTTTTTTTTTCTTGAGATGGAGTTTTGCTCTTGTCGCCCAGACTGGAGTGCAGTGGTGTGATCTTGGCTCACTGCAACCTCTGCCTCCCGGGTTCAAGTGATTCTCTTGCCTCCCGAGTAGCTGGAATTACAGGCATGTGCCACCATACCCGGCTAATTTTTGTATTTTTAGTAGAGATGGGGTTTCGCCATGTTGACCAAGCTGATCTCAAACTCCTGACCTCAGATGATCTGCTGGCCTTGGCCTCCCAAAGCAGTGGGATTACAGGCGTGAGCCACCTCGCCCAGCCTCTTTTTGATTTTTGAGACAGGGTTTCGCTCTGTCACTTGGGCTGGTGTACAGTGGTGCAAAGACAGCTCACTCCGGCCTCGACCTCCTGGGCTTGGGCGATCCTCTTGCCTCAGCCTCCAGAACTATTGAGATTACAGGCATGAGCCACTGCGCCTGTATATCACTCTTTTTAGTTCTTTTATTTTTTTTCTTGAGACACTTTTTTGGAGTCACCCAGGCTGGAGTGCAGTGGTGTGATCTCGACTCACTGCAACTTCTGGGGTTCAAGTGATTCTCCTGCCTCGGCCTCCCGAGTAACTGGGGCTACTGGCACATGTCACCACGCCTGGCTAATTTTTGTATTTTTAGTAGAGATGGGGTTTCGCTACCTTGGCCAGGTTGGTCTCAAACTCCTGACTTCAAGTGATCTGCCCGCCTTGGCCTCCCAAAGTGCTGGGATTACAGGTGTGAGCCAGTGAGCCCAGGCCTGTTTTATCACTTTTATCACTGGTATTTGTAAGAGACTGGCTTTGCTGGGCTGGCGAGGCTTTTTCCAGCGCACAGTGAAATAAAGGCAGCTTCCTGGCTGGGTGTCCTGTCCCCATGTCCCCTGCTTCCAGGTATTTCCCTAAAGTTGGGCCTTCACCCCAGCATTGCCCTGAGTTCCCGAGGAGCCAGAAGTCCTGGAAGCTGGGGTGCTCTGGCTGGGCCCCCTGCAGTCCTGGCTGTCTCACAAGTCCTCCAGCTGAGTGATGTGACCCATCTGTGTCCCCACCCCAGTCCTCCGATGGCAGCTGAAGGGGATCAGGATATGTTACTCTTAGCAATATATCACTTAGAGACCAGGCACAGTGGCTCATGCCTATAATCCAGCACTCTGGGAGGCTGAGGTGAGTGGATTGTTTGAGCTCAGGAGTTCGAGACTAGCTTGGGCAAAACCCCATCTCTACCAAAAATACAAAACATCACCAGGCATGATGGCGTCCACCTGTGGTCCCAGCTACTTGGGAGGCTGAGGTGAGAAGATGGCTTGAGCCTGGGAGACGGAGGTTGCAGTGAGCCAAGATCGCACCACTGCACTCCAGCCTGGGACACAGAGTGAGAATGTCTAAAAAACAGCAAACAAAACAACCCAAAAAAACAAGGCCGGGCTCACGCCTGTAATCCCAGTACTTTGGGAGGCCAAGGAGGATGGATCGTGAGGTCAGGAGATTGAGACCAGCCTGGCCAACATGGTGAAACCCTGTCTATACTGAAAATACAAAAGTTGGGGCTGGGCGCAGTGGCTCACGCCTGTAATCCCAGAATTTTGGGAGGCCAAGGCCAGCGGATCACGAGGTCAGGAGTTTGAGACTAGCCAGACCAACATGGTGAAACACCATCTCTACTAAAAATACAAAAATTAGCTGTATGTGGTTGTGTGTGCCTGTAGTCCCAGCTACTCGGGAGGCTAAGGCAGGAGAATCGCTTGAACCTGGGAGGTGGAGGTTGCAGTGAGTGGAGATTGTGCCACTGCACTCCAGGCTAGGCAACAGATGGAGGCTTCTTAGTCTCAAAAAAAAAAAAAAGAAAAAAGAAAAAAAGAAAACTAGTTGGTGTGGTGTGTGCCTATAGTCCCAGCTACTTTGGAGGCTGAGGCAGGAGAATCACTTGAACCAGGGAGTCACAGGTTGGCGGTGAGCCGAGATTGCGCCACTGCACTCCAGCCTGGTGACCGAGGGAGCCTTTGTCTCAAAAGCAGTATCTGTCATCTTCAATTAATCAGTCATCACCTTTAGCATCAGAATTATTCTGAGCTGAATGCAATACAAATCAGTAGATGGACCAGGTGAGATGTCTCATGCCTGTAATCCCAGCACTTTGGGAGGTCAAGGTGGGTGGATCAGGAGGTTAGGAGATTGAGACCATCCTTGCCCACACGGTGAAACCCCATCTCTACTAAAAATACAAAAAATTAGGCGGGTATGGTGGTCAGTCCCTGTAGTCCCAGCTACTTGGGAGGTGGAGGCAGCGGAATTGCTTGAATCCAGGAGGCAGAGATTGCAGCAAGCTGAGATCACACCATTGCAGTCCATTCTGGTGACAGAGTAAGACTTGGTCTCAAAAAAAAAAAAAAAAAAAAAAATCAGTGATGGCCAGGCACAGTGGCTCACACCTATAATCTCAGCACTTTCTGTTTGGGAGGCCAAGGTGGGGGGATCACCTGAGGTCAGGAGTTCGATAGCAGCCTGGCCAACCTGGTGAAACCCTGTCTCTACGAAAAATACAAAAAATTATCTGGGCACGGTGGTGTATGCCTGTATTTGGGAGGCTGAGGCACAAGAAGCACTTGAACCCAGGAGGTGGCGGTTACATTGAGCCGAGATCACGCCATTGCACTCCAGCCTGGGCAACAGAGTGAGATCCCGTTTCAAAAAAAAAAAAAAAAGTGACATAAATTTTCCTTTGTGGAGGTGTCCTCTCCCCCATCTCCTTACCAGGGAGAGTAGAGCTACTCCTGTCACTGGGGATAGTCCCAAGATGAGTCTACATAAACCATACTCAAATAACTCACTCTCCCTCTTTTTTTTTTTTGGAGACAGGGTTTTGCTCTGTCACCCAGGCTGGAGTACAGTGGTGTGATCACACTTCACTGCAGCCTTGACCTCGTGGGCTCAAGTGATCCTCCCGTCTCTGCCTCCCACGTAGCTTAGACCACAGGCGTGCACCACCACACTGGGCTAATTTTGGTATTTTTTGTAGAGATGGGGTTTCACCACGTTGCCCAGGCTGGTCTCGAACTCCTGGGCTCAAGAGATCCTCCTGCCTTACCCTCCCAAGTAGCTGGAACCACAGGTGTGTGCTACCACACTCCACTTTTTTTTTTTTTTTTTTTTGTATTTTTAGTAGAGAAAAGGTCTCGCCATGTTGCCCAGGTTGGTCTCAAACTCCTGAGCTCAAGCAATCCAGCCACCTCGGCCTCCCAAAGTGCTGGGGTTACAGGCGTGAGCCACCGCGCCTAGCCAATGTCCAATGCTTGGGGTTTTGGACCCCAGGGTATTTCTGCAACACAGATGCCCTTTCAGCCTTCCAGCTGATGAGACTCAAGCAAAGGCCCGGGGGGGTGTGAGACCAAGGACTTGGCCAAGCTCCCCTCCTCTTGCTCATCCCCTGTCCCTCCTACCCGGTGTCTCCTGGGCAGTTAGCCTGATGGTGTGGACTGCAGAGGCCTGGGGTCTACCTCTTGGCACTTGGGCATAGAATTGGCCTTCGAGTTCAGGGCTCACTGGGGGCTTCGGTAGTGGACTTAATTTCTGGGGGACAGATGGCTGCAGCCCTGTTGGCAGTGGAGGGAATTGCATAAGCCCTGGCTCACCCCAGTGGCTCCTGGACACACTCAGCCCCAGCACCATGGGAGGTGGACCTTGGCCAGAGGCCAGCTCTGCCATGGATTGACAGCTTGTTTAGAAGCCTGTGGTGGCTGCCAGCCTGCCTGGTTAGAAAGTTAAAACCTTCTTTTCTTTCCTCCCTCCCTCCCTCCGTCCTTCCTTTTTTCTTTTTCTTTCTTTCTTTCATTAAAAAAAAAAAAAAGTTTTTTTTTTTTTTTTTTTTGAGATGGAGTCTTGCTGTGTTGCCCAGGCTGGAGTGCAGAGGTGTGATCTCGGCTCCGCACAACCTCCACCTCCCAGGTTCAAGTGATTCTCCTGTCTCAGCCTCCTGAGTAGCTGGGATTACAGGCGTGCACTACTATGCCCAGCTAATTTTTGTATTTTTAGTAGAGATGGGGTTTCACTCTGTTGGTAATGCTGGTCTCAAACTCCTGACTTAGTGATCTGCCTGCCTCGGCCTCCCATAGTGCTGGGATTACAGGCGGGAGTCACTGCACCTGGCCTTAGAAAAACTTTTAGAGACAGGGTCTCCCTGTGTTGTCCAGCCTGCTTGATCTACTGGCCTCAAGTGATCCTCCCGAAGTGTTGAGATTACAAGAGTCAGCCACCACACTCAGCCTCCACACTTTGACTTCTCGTGGGACTGATCTTTTCCTAGATGTCATTGTTTAATTTATTTTTACTGTTAATTATTTTTAGGGATGAGATCTTTCTGCGTCACCCAGGCTGCAGTGCAGTGGCTATCCACAGTTGTGATCATAGCTGGTCTTGACCTCCTGGGCTCAAGGGATCCTCCTGCCTCAGCCTCTTGAAGAGCTGGAACTGCAGGTGGGTGCCACCACACTTGGCTAACCGTTATTTTAGGACTTATATCTGTCTTGCCATCTGGAGCCTGTAGACTTCTTGCCCGAGGGAAGCTCATGCAGGCCTGTTGTCTGGAACGGGACCTCTCCAAAATGTGTGCCTTGATGCTGCAGTAGTAATGTCAGTAGCAGCCTGCTGTTGGTCAGGTCTGTTCAGAGAGCAGAAGCTCTCAAAGGGGTCTGGGACTCTGGGGATGGCTGAAGCCCTTCTGGGGGTCCACAAGCCAAATTATTATTAATTCAGATGGAGTCTTGCTCTGTTGCCCAGGCTGGAGTGCAATGGTGTGATCTCGGCTCACTGTAACCTCTGCCTCCTGGGTTCAAGCTAGCCTCCTGCCTTGGCCTCCTGAGTAGCTGGGATTACAGGTGTATGCCACCATGCCTGGCTAATTTGTGTGTGTGTGTGTGTGTGTGTATATATATATATATATATATATATATATATATGTATTTTTTTTTTTTTTTTTTGTGAGATGGAGTCTCGCTCTGTCACCAGGCTGGAGTGCAGTGGCGCAATCTTGGCTCACTGCAACCTCTGTCTCCTGGGTTCAAGCGATTCTTCTGCCTCAGCCTCTCGAGTATCTGGGACTACAGGCATCCGCCAACACGCCCGGCTAATTTTTGTATTTTCAGTAGCAACAGGGTTTCACCATGTTGGCCAGGATGGTCAAAGTGCTCGGATTACAGGTGTGAACCACCGTGCCCGGCCCAGGATGGCTGCTTTTAGGTCGGACCTAAGCTTTGGGAGAACTGGGAACCTGGGCATGGAGAGAGGGCAGAGGGCGCTGCCCTGCAGCCCAGCGAGGACAGCTTCCAAGGTCCTGGATAGGATCTTTTGATTTTTGCTTTCCTGAGCTAACACCAGAGCCAGCTCCCTCCACTAAGCCCCGTGACAGAAGCAGCTTGCATGGCTCTCTCTGTCATTGTGACAATTGCTCAGACATTGCAAACAGCCAGGGACTAGAGAGCTGCAGTGTCCTTAGCCTTCACCACTTTTATTTTTTTGAGATGGAGTTTTGTTGTTCTTGCCCAGGGTGGAGTGCAAGGGTGCGGTTTTGACTCACCGCAACCTCCGCTTCCTGGGTTCAAACAATTCTCCTGTCTCAGCCTCCTGAGCAGCTGGGATTACGGGCTCCCACCACCATGCCTGGCTAATTTTTGTATTTTTAGTAGAGATGGGGTTTCACCGTGTTGGCCAGGCTGAGTGCTGGGATTACAGGCGTGAGCCACCATGCCGGGCTTTTTATTTTTTTTTTGAGACAGAATCTTACTCTGTCACCCAGGCTGGAGTACAGTGGTGTGATCTTGGCTCACTGCAATCTCCACCTCTCGGGCTCAGGTGATTCTTGTGCCTCACCCTCCAGTGTAGCTGGGATTACAGGTGTGTGCAACCACGCCCGGCTAATTTTTTTGTATTTTTAGTAGAGACAGTTTTGCCATGTTGGCCAGGCTGGTCTCAAACTCCTGACCTCAAGTAATCCCACCACCATGCCTGGCTAATTTTTGTATTTTTAGTAGAGATGGGGTTTCACTGTGTTGGCCAGGCTGAGTGCTGTGATTACAGGCCTGTGCCACCACACCCAGCCTCTTTCTAGGAGCTAACGAAGTGCCTGCTTGTGTAACTCCCCAAGAGACCCACCCAGGCAGTACTTAGCAAAGGGATAAAGACCACGCCCATCCAAAAGCCCTTTGACTCAACTTTTTTTTATTATTTTTTTTTCTTTTTGAATGTCATGCAATAATTCACAGTCCCAAGCCCACGGTTTTCAAACAAGGTAGGAAAAAAGGAAAAAAGAAGCAAAGGAATTGGTGGTGGTGGTGGGTGTTTTTCTTCTTTTGTTATTTCAAGCAGGACCAAATGTCAGAAAAAAAATGCCTCTTTTCTCAATCGTTAATTTTTCTGTCCTTCTTAGTTTATTTTTAAATTGGTTTCTGCAGGCAGTAAAAGCAGGGTTTGGTGTAACCGGCAAGCGCTCCTGTGTGTCTGAGAACGTGTGTGGGTGTGGGTGGGGCGCTGGGGTTCCGCTTCCTTCCGGCCTCTTTGCCGCACTTGGCCACCAGCTCTCTTCGTCAGGGAAAGGAAAGATTCAATTGAGATGATAAAACTCATCAATAGAAGCTATTTTTTTCTCCCCATTTTTTCTTTTAAAAATGTTTTTTTTTTTTTTTTTGTTTTTTCCATATTCCCCAAAGTTCTCCAAAAATGGCTGAGTTAATTCAAATCCCTTGGCTGTATGGTTTGTCTGCCCCTGCCTCCCACCCGAGAGCCCCTGTAGTGGGTGGGGGGGGGATCGGGGTTGGGTGGAGGGAGCCGTGGCTGCCCAGGAGGGTCTCTTCTGGCTGAGGATCTCTGCAGGACACTCTTGTGGCCCTGGCCTCTCCTGGGCCCTCTGTGCTGGGCCCCCGCAGCCTCTGCGCGGCTCCTCAGGTGGGGTGTGTGCGTGGGGTGCGTGGGGGGCCGGGCGGGCGCCACCTCGCCCGGGCTTAGCACCAATCGTCGTCGCTCTCGCTGTAGGGTTCGTGCAGGCCCTTCCTGGAGCCTGGCCCGCGGGGCCTGGCCAGTCCATGCGCCGGGTAGTAGCCGTTGGGGAGTCGCCGGTGCCGGGAAGGCGAGGCGCAGGCCGGGCCCGAGGCCCGGGGAGTCCTGGGTGAACGCCCCGTGGCGCCCGAGGACGCGTGTCGTGCGGGGGGTGGCGCGTCGTAGGCCCCGGCCATGGCCTCCTCGCCGCCCCCGCTTCCCGGGCCGTCCGCCTCGTCGTAGTCGGAGCCTCGGTAGTAGCCATGGTGCCGGGGACCCGGGGGCCCCTCGGACACGTGCGGGCCGGATGCCGGCCACCGGGCCCCGCCATGGCGACAGGCCCTGGGAGACTCGCTCCGGGCTGGGCCCGGGACCCGCCGCTCCATCCTGGGCGAGCGGCCGCTGCTGTGGCCCCCCATGGGCGGCCGATCTCCGGCCAGAGGCTCGGCCACGGGGCCTGGGTACCTCCGAGGGCCGCTGGTGGCTGCCCGGCCCGGCCTGGCCACCGCCTGCTGCTGCTGCGGGGGCCCCGAGCCACCGGCCTTACGGATCACAGGGGAATAGGACACGTGTGGCCGGGGGGTGGAAGGGGTCTGGGGGAGCTGGCGGCGGCCCCGCCGCGGAGTGCTGGTACCAGATGTTGAGGGGGCTGGGCTTCCACTTACGGAACTACTGCCCTACACGAAAATTGAAACAAAGGAAATCAAAAAAAAAGATACAACAAAATCAAAGGAGACACAGGATTGGGAGGGAGGGGAAGGAGAGGGGGACACAGGATATTTGAATGGAAAAAAGCAACAGCCACAGGGAGGAGGGAGGGGAGGAGGGGGAGTGAGACAAAGAGGGAGGGAAGGAGTCGAAAACCAACACAACAAAGTGAAAAGAGAAATGAGAAATGGAGTTTTGTAAGTTTCGGGGTTAAAAATAGCAGAAGTTTCAAAAATTACTCACAGGCGTCCAGAGGACAGAAATCATAATCGAAACAAAAAGGGAAGCTGGGTTAGGAAAGCGAAGGATCGGGCGGCCGCCCAGAACGCAAATGTGATCTACAACCGAGGAGGAAGCAGCTGCGGGCGGCGGGGAGGGCGCGGGGAAGTGGGGGGGACAGCATGGGCAGCCGCGGGGAGCCATATCTGCCAGGCACTCCGGTGGCTTAGGGATAGGATGGGAGGTGGTCACAGCCGGGATTAGGGACCTTTGCCCAGAGTGGCCGTCGGATGGGGGGGTTCCCTTCTCTCCTCCCCGCCTCTCTGCCCGTGAGCCCAGCCTGGGATCACTGCGCCGCACCCACCTGCCGGTGTGTCATGTGCTCTCGGCCCTCGCTGGGGGAGCGGGACCAACGCTGGTCCCGGGCCCGTGCCCGGCCGTGGTCCGGCCGTTCCTGGGCATAGCGGTCCTTGTCGGGTGGCGGGGGGTGGTGGTGGTGGTGGTGGTGGTGTCGATGCTTCCGATCCTTGGGCCGGCCCCGCTCCTGGTCCCGCTCCTTGGATGGCAGGTCCCCCGATTGGGTGGTCATGCTCAGGTCTGTCCCCAAGCCTGGGCCGGGCGAGACAGACAGATGGTCATGAAGGATGGCTGGGGCAGATGTGCACACAGAAGGCCACCTGGGAGTGTGGGGGCCCTAGGGATCCCTTGGACAGAGGCAGGTCAGTGGGTGGTGGGGGCCAGGCCCCCAGGCCCCTGCAGCCACCACCTGGCCCCGTCTGTCCCCTCTCCATGGAGGTGCCTCCCTTTCTTCTCCCTTATTCCTCAAAGTCGCCCCTGCCCTGCCTTCTCCTCTCTCCAGTCCTCTGTTCCCTTGGTCCCTGAGCCCTGCAGTGCTGCCCACCTGTGTCTACGTCGGTGTAGCGGCCCAGGGAGCGCTCCGAGGCACGGTGGCCGCGGTCGCGGCGCCGCTGGTGGTGCCGCTGGTTCTCCTCGGGCAGGACCCGCTCCAGCGAATAGTCGTCCAGGCGCCGGGCCTTGGGGCCCAGCACGGAGGCTGAGCGCTTCATGGGGCTGGTGTCTGAGATGGTCTGGAGGGGGACAGGCCAGTGGGCTGAGGTCAGCAGCCGGCACCAAGTGGTCCTGGTCCTTCCTGCCCCATCGAGGCAGCCTGGTGGTGGCCTTTGGTGACTGGGGTGTGACCATCCTGGGGTGGGGGTCTGGGGGTGCTGTGGGGCCTTGGCTCCCCCTGATGAATCCAGGCCCTGAGTGTGGCCAGGCCTCTGAGGGTGGAACTGAGGACTCCTCTGTCCCTCAGAGACAGGGCTGCTCCTTCTGGGCCCATCCTGGGTTCTGACCAGAAAGATCTGATCCTCACCTTCCCGCCCTGGGGGCCCGGCCAGGGTTGGGCAGACTCAGGCTGGCCAGAGGGAAGCCCTCTCCATATCCAGGGTGCAAACCTGGGAGCCCTGGCCCGCCCACCCTCACCCCTGCCCCAGCTTGCTCTCTCAGGAGGGTGAGAAGCCTGGGCTTCTGTGGCTGGCTGACCTATGGGCTCAGGATCAGGCGCCCGGCATGGCAGCTCCACGTCCTCCCGGCTAATGGGGCTGTGCTTGCTGCCCCCCAAGTCTGAGTCCTTCTGGCCAGGCCCAAACTAGGGAGCTCCGAGTGGGGGTGGGGGTGCCCAGGCACCCCAGGCTCTGGGCCGCCCACTCTTCCCGGTGCTGCACCCCTGGGTCAAGCCCTGATACAGAGGGTTCTCTGCAGCAGGTAGAGGAGGGAAGGAGGGAGATGGGGCAGACGCCCACCTACCAGAGTCCAGGCCAGCTGAGTGCTGGTAGCCCTGGCTCCAGGTAGGAGCAGCAGGACCAGGGGTCGGTGGTGGTGTCAGGGGAAGAAGCCCCCTAGAAAGAGGTGCAGGGTGGGCCAGGCTCTTGGAGAGCTGGTGTCCCCCAGCGTGGGGGGGCCCTGAAGAGAAGGGGGTAGGGGTAAGGATGGGGATGTCCCCACCCCACCAGGGCTCATGGGGGGGTGCACACACAGGACACCACACACAAGGATGGGACTCCATGGGGGAGAGGGTGCGATCGGCAAAGAAAGGGTGGGGTCCGGGGACGGTGAGATGACAGGACTCCCTGGGGGGGGTGGGGAGGAAGGGGGGCCGGAGCCCTGCTGGTGCTGGGTGGGTGCAGTACATACACTGAGGTTATTCCCACGTGGCCGGCCCCTCCTCCTCTGTCACAGCCCCATGGGATGGTGCACACAGAAAAAACAGAAAGAAGAAAATAAATATAAAAGGCAAGAGGGAGAGTGAGGTGGTGGTGCAGGGAGAGAAGCCAGGGAGGTGGGTGGCACTGGCATTAAGAGAAATTGGAGGGAGAAGGCAGGAGGAAAAGAAAAGTTGAAGTCCTGGCGGGTGGGTGTCCCAGGCCCCCGGGCTGGTGTCCTCCATTCCCATGGGTGCAGAGGAGACAGACAGGAGATGCAGACAGACAGATGGCAGAGGCACGGGACCGACAGATGGGACGGTGCGGCCACGAGCCCCTGGCCCTGGGCTCTGCCTCATGCGATGCACACCCCAGCCCCTGGCTCCAGCTGATGCTCAAAGCTTCCAAGTGGTGGCCGTCAGCTAGACTTGTCCCAACCCTCTCCTGGGGCCCGGCAGCTCAGTCCTGAGGGGCAGCGGCATGCATGCTGGGTGCTCCCCAACCTACGTTCCCAGCAGCCAGAGGCCAGGCCCTCAGGTGACCCTGGTCCAGCCAGGCACAGCACAGCCTTGCCCCGCACAGATGCCACGGCACAGCACACGGAAAGCTTGCCACAGCCACATATAACACTCCAGGGCCAGGCTCCTGCAGCCACACCCTGTTCTCCTCCAATGGTGGGCTTCGTGCATGGCCCCTACCACACGTCAGGTGGACAGCCAACCATGCCTCAGGGCCCTCTTGTCTCGTGAGCCCAGGCCAACCGGATCACCTGCAGGTGGGCCTGGCAGCTGAGTATAACAGCCACACACGGACACACATCAAGCACACACCCCTGTCCCCTGTTCCCAGTGGCTCCCACAGAGACCAGACAGGAAATACAAACCCAGCTGCTGCTAGACCCATCCTAGACTCTGCTACTGCATTGGAGGACCTGCCAAGTTCCCATATGCAGACACGTGTGCATGTATGTGTATATGTGTACACGTGCAGTGTGTATATGCCCACGTGTACATGCACGTGTGTATGTATGTGCCTGAGTAGGTGCACACATATGTGTGTGTAGGGCTGATCATGCCAGGTATCACCTGGCCCTGACAAACCTTGCTGCACCCACAAATCTCCTGTCTGCAACCTCCAACCAGGGCAGCCAGAGACCATTTTGCAATGACCGCTGCCCTCTGCCCTGGGGGAGCCCTTCCCTCTCTGTCTTCTGTGAGGGAGGAGGGTCTGCAGGTGCTCCAGGTGTGGCCTGCAGACTGCTTCAGAGGCCACAGGAGTCCCTACCCAGGCCTCAGTATGGCAGAGAAGGGATGCACTGGGCTGCTTGTGGGGGGTCCGGCCCTGCCCAGTGCAGAGGGAGAGGTCCAGCCCCAGGGCAGTGGTGAAAGCCCTCACCTGGTTCTCTGCAGGGAGGCGGGGCATGGAGGCGGCCCGGCCCTGGCCTTCCATGGGGAGGTAGTGCTCGCTGTCAGAGTAGCCATCTCTGCCCATTGCTCGCATCTCCACGGACTGCGGGGTAGATGGTGAAGCTGGATGAGCCCAGGGGCCTGACCCCCAGATCCCTGGTGTCTGCGGAGGGAGGGAGCTACAGGGGTGTGTGTGGGCTGGGACCCCTCCCTTCTGAACTGCCTGGGGCCTGCCATTGGGGAGTTGGGGTACAGAGGCACCTGAGAGTTAGGCTGGCTGTTGGGCATGTCGGTTGGGGGGCCTCGCTCCGGGCTCCACGTGCCTGTCTTCTGGAACATTTCCTGGGCACGCTGGGTCACCCAGGATGGGCTTTCCTTGAGGCCGCTTTCATGAGCCATCCTGTGTGGGGGACAGAGGCCAGGGTAGCGGTGGGTGCTTGGGTGGCTTCCAGAATCTGGGGACCGTGGCACCCCCATGCTTCACCTCCCTGGCAGGGGCGACACTCACAGGGCTCCTCCTGGGTCCAGCTGGGTGGAGGGAAGGGCATTCTGGCCGGGCCCCGCCTCTTGCGTTGGGGATGGGGGCTCCATGCGCTGGAACATGAGGGGTGTCCGGTCCTGGGGAAGGGGGCAGAGGGCAGTTTGAACAAGGGCAGGGCGGTCGGACAGAGATACCCAGAAGGCATTGTGACATCCCCCGTACAGACACACGCACAGGCTTTCAGCACTCAGCACTCAGGTCTGAGCCATCTAGACACTTCCTGCCAATTCCACCCAGAACTGGACCACTTCTGCCTGCTCCACCCAAGTCATAGTCGCAACCTGGTCCCGCCCCTCATCCCCGCTGGACCACTGCAGGCCCCTTCTCCTGCTCCTACCTTCAACCCCACTGTTGCTCCCACAAGAGCCACCAGAGGGCGCCTGTGAGTACCTGAGGCAAATCAGATCCCTCCTCTGCTAAGAACCTTCTATGGCTCCCACTTCACTTGGGGTAAAAGCCAGTCCTTCCTGCACTTCCCATGGCCCTGAAGGATCTGCCCTGTCACCACCTTGCCCTCATCTCCTCCCTGCTCTTTTCTGTCACAATGGCCTCTTTGCTGTTTCCCAAACAACCCAGGCACAGTCCAGCCTCAGAGCCTTTGCTGGCATTCCCGCTGCCTGCACACCCTTCCAGGTGTTGCTTAGCTCACCACCTCTTCCCTTTTCTTTCATGCCTTTGCTCACAGGTCCCCTTCTCAGGGAGGCTCCCCGACTACCCATTTCCCATTGCGTCCCCTCCCCTCCTTGGCACTCCTATCTCCTGGATTCTTCTCCGCTTCTCCCCTGACTCTTCTTCCTCTTTGCTGGATGCCACGTGATTCAGTCAGTTGTTACTGTTGGCATCTTCCCCACTTGGAATATCTGCTCCCTGAGGGCAGGGATTCTGGCCTGCTCTGCCCACGGCTGCACTCCCAAGGGCCGAGAACAGCACCCTGCATACAGTAGGTACTCAATAAGTGTTGGTGGAGCAGCTGAATGAATCCACATTATGTGTCCTTGGTAAGAACCTTTCTCTTTTTTTTTTTCCAAGACAGGGTTTTGCTCTGTTGCCCGGGCTGGAGTGCAGTGGCGCGATCTCGGCTTGTTCAACCTCCACCTCCCAGGTTCAAATGATTCTCCTGCCTCAGCCTCCCAAGTAGCTGGGACCACAAGAGCATGCCACCACGTGCAGCTAATTTTGTTTTTTTTTAGAAATGGGGGTCTTTCTATGTTGCCCAGGCTGGTCTCCCACTCCTGGCCTCAAGTGATCCTCCCGTCTTGGCCTCCCAAATAGCTGGGACTACAGGTATGCACCACCATGCCTGGCTAATTTTTTACTCTGTAGAGATGCATTCTTACTGTGTTGCCCAGGCTGATCTTGAGCTCCTGGCCTCTCAAAGCACTGGGATTACAGGTGTGAGCTGCCCTGGGGCTCAGCCACCCTCCTATTCCAGTTACTTCCCATGGTGACATGTAAGCCACTGTCCCCAGCCCAGGTTTCCCGGGGCGACGAATAACGCACCTGCTCCTCACGCATGGCCTGCAGCTTCTTGGCCTTGCTCTGGCGGTAATACTCCATGATCATCATGGCTGCATAGATCTTCCCCACCGTGAGGTCCGTGGCTGGGGGCACACACAGGGCCAGCTTACCATGGGCAGGTCTCCTTGGGGCCCTTGTCCTGCGTCCATGTTCACCAGCCCGGGCCCACTCTCTCCTCAGACCTCCTCTTTCCCTCCCTCTCCATGCGTCCAAGTGGGCGGGGCTTGGCTCTTACACTTGTGAGGGGTGACCAGCAGGTCCAGTGTCTTCTGGGACAAGTTGGGCCAAATCGCCATCATCTCCTTCCGCAGCTCGGCGTCCATCTGCTGTTTGTCGGCTCCTCCTGAAATGGTGGTGCAGACAGACCCTGAGTGCCGCCTGGGTGCCAGCCGGACTCTGGGTCAGGTACAAAGCCAGTGGCGCCTGAGATTTTTTTTTTTTTTTTTTTTTTTGAGATGGAGTCTTGCTCTGTAGTCCAGGCTGGAGTGCAGTGGCTCCATCGCAGCTCACTGCAACCTCTGCCTCCTGGGTTCAAGTGATTCTCCTGCCTCAGCCTCCCGAGTAGCTGGGACTACAGGCGAGTACCACCATGCCTGGCTAAGTTTTTGTATTTTTAGTAGAGATGGGGTTTCACCATATTAGCCAGGATGGTCTTGATCTCCTGACTTTGTGATCCGCCTTCCTCAGCCTCCCAAAGTGCTGGGATTACAGGGGTGAGCCAGCATGCCTGGCCCCGGGACTCCAATCTTTCTGGTCCCCACGGGGTCTCCGACTCCCCCACGGCCTGGCCCAGAGGCGGCCCTGGCAGTACTGGTGGAATGACATCTGGACGCTGCTTCTCAGAAGGGCCAGGACCATGGAGCAGTTGCGTGGGAGACAGCCCAGCACGGAAAACAGCAGGATGACCCAGGCCCAATCTTGGCTCCCAGCTATTGACTGCATGACTTAGGTGTCTCTACCACTTGGTGCCTCAGTTTCTCCACCTGTGAAATCGAGACAGGCTGGGGTGGTGGCTCACACCTGTAATCCCAGCACTTTGGGAGGCTGAGGTGGGTGGATCACCTGAGGTCGGGAGTTCGAGACCAGCCTGACCAACAAGGTAAAACTCTGTCTCTACTAAAAATACAAAATTAGCCAGGCGTGGTGGCACACACCTGTAACCCCAGCTAATTGGGAGGCTGAGGAAGGAGAATTGCTTCAACCTGGGAGGCGGAGGTTGTGGTGAGCCAAGATTGTGCCACTGCACTCCAGCCTGGGCAGCAAGAGCAAAACTCCATCTCAAAAAAATAAAGGAGACGATAGCAAGAGTACTTGCTTGTCTTACCTGGTTGTTGCTGTTGTTTTTTTTTTTAAGACAGATTCTCACTCTGTTCCCAGGCTGGAGTGCAGCAGTGATGGAATCTCGACTCACTGCAACCTTCGCCTTCTGGGGGTTCAAGAGATTCTCCTGCTTCACCCTCCTGAGTAGCTGGGACTACAGGCACGCGCCACCATGCCTGGCTATTACCTGGTTGGTTGATGATCAGAGTAACATGCATGCAGCCTTGGGACAAGGCTGGGATGACCTGGAGCATCCCCAACAGAGGAGGTTTTGGTTTTATTTTTTGAGACAGGGTTTTGCTCTGTCGCTCAGGCTGGAGTGCGGTGGTGCAATCATAGCTCACTGCAGTATTGACCTCCTGAGCTCAAGTGATCCTCCCACCTCAGCCTCCCAAAGTGCTGGAATTACACATGAGAGCCACTGTGCGTAGCCCAGAGGTTTTCTCCCCCTTTCCCAAGTCTCCACTGCCATGGACATGGCCTCGGACTGCTGCCGGTCCCTGGTCCCTCGCCCCAGTCATGGTGGTCCTTCAGGCTGTCTGCCGGTATTTCCAGGCCTTCCGGCCTGAGCGCACGGGAGGGTTCCTCCTGTGGTTGGCAGGGCCATGTGATGAGTTCTTGCTAATAGGGTGTGCACCACATGATGTGCCACTTTGGACCAGAGCATTTATTATTATTGAGATGGAGTCTAACTCTGTCGCCCAGGCTGGAGTGCAGTGGCGCAATCTGGGCTCACTGCAACCTCTGCCTCCTGGGTTCAAGTGATTGTCCCGCCTCAGCCTCCCGAGTAGGTGGGATTGTAGACACCCACCATCATGCTTGGCTAATTTTTATATTTTTGTAGAGATAGGGTTTTACCATGTTGGCCAAACTGGTCCTGAACTCCCAACCTCAGATGATCCGCCTGCCTCGGCCTCCCAAAGTGCTGGGATTACAGGCAGAGCCACCACGGCCAGCCTATTTATTTATTTATTTTGAGATGGAGTTTTTGCTCTGTTGCCCAGGCTGGAGTCCAGTGGCGCAATCTCGGCTCACCGAAATCTCTGCCCCCGGGTTTAAGCGATTCTCCTGGCTCAGTCTCCTGAGTGGCTAGGATTACAGGCCCCTGCCACTGTGCCCGGCTAATTTTCCCTACACTTCATTCTAATGATGTGTCTTGGGCCACGTAGTATCAGTTTGACCTCTGGAGGGACTGGAGACTGAGTAGCCACATGACAAACCCCCAGGAAAAACCCTGGGGCACCAAGGCTCAGGTGAGCTTCCCCGGTTGGGAGTACACCGTGCCTGTTGTCACACACTGTAGGGAGAGTTAAGCATCGTCTCAGCAACTCCACTGGGAGCAGACAACTAGAAGCTCACGCCTGGTGTCTCCTGGACCCTTCCACAGATGCTTTTCCTTTCCAGATGTTATGTTTTTGGATTTTTTTTTTTTTGAGACGGAATTTCGCTCTTGTTGCCCAGGCTGGAGTGCAATGGTGCGATCTTGGCTCACTGCAGCCTCCTCCTTGGTTCCATTGATTCTTCTGCCTCAGCCTCCTGAGTAGCTGGGATTACAGGCATGCACCACCATGCCCGGCTAATTTTGTATTTTTAGTAAAAGAGACAGGGTTTCTCCACGTTGGTCAGGCTCGTCTTGAACTCCCAACCTCCTTGGCCTCCCAAAGCGCTGGGTTTACAGGCATGAGTTACCGTGCCTGGCGGATTTTTGTTTGTTTGAGATAGTGTTGCTTTGTCGCCCAGGCTGGAGTGCAGTGTTGCAATCTCGGCTTAATGTAGCCTCTGTCTCCTGGGTTCAAGGGAGTCTTGTGCCTCAGCCTCTCGAGTAGCTGGAACTACAGGTGTGTGCCACCACGCTAGGCTAATTCTCCCTCTTTTTTTTTTTTTGAGATGGAGTTTTGCTCTTGTTGCCCAGGCTAGAGTGCAATGGTGTAGTCTCAGCTCACTGCAAACTCTGCCTCCTGGGTTCAATCGATTCTCCTGCCTCAGCCTCCCAAGTAGCTGGGATTACGGGTACCTGCCACCACACCCAGCTAATTTTTGTATTTTTAGTAGAGATGGGGTTTCGTCATGTTGGCCAGGCTAGTCTCAAACTTGTGACATCAAGTGACCTGTCCACCTCACCCTCCCAAAGTGCTGAGATTACAGGTGTGAGCCACCACTTCTGGCCCTTTGGAGATTTTTTTGGGGGGGGCGGGGGATAGAGTCTCACTCTGTCCAGCCTGGAATACAGTGGCGGGATCTCAGCTCACTGCAACCTCCGCCTCCTGAGTTCAAGCGATTCTCCTACCTCAGCCTTGCAAGGAGCTAGAATTACAGGAGCCTGACACCATGACCCACTAAGTTTTGCATTTTTAGTAGAGATGGGGTTTCACCATGTTGGCCAGGATGGTCTGGAACTCGTGACCTCAAGTGATCCGCCTGCCTCGCCCTCTTAAAGTACTGGGATTATAGGCGTGGGCCACTGGGCCTGGCCCTTTACAGAGTTTAGTATGTATTCTTTGACTGTCATAAACTGTGAGTATAAAAACTTTTCTCAGTTCTGACTTCTTCCCGGGAATCACTGAACCTGCGGGTGGTTTTGGGACCCCTGAACACGGATCCCCAGGGTGCCACAGCAGCTGAGTTATGATGGCATTACATACAAGTGGGGGCACTGTGAGACCCATTTTACAGATGAAGGAACTGTGGCAGGCAGAATTTGAAAGCTGCCCATCCACCAAGATTCTAGTTATTCAATCAAACACTAATCTAGGGACCACTGCCCAGGCTATGAAGGGACTTTGCAGATATAATTAAATACCGATGAGGTGGCTCATGGCTGTAATCCCAGGACTTTGGGAGGCCAAAGCTGGTGGATCACCTGAGGTCAGGAGTTTGAGACCAGTCTGGCCAACATGGCGAAACCCCATCTCTACTAAAAATATGCACACAAAAAACTTAGCTGGGTGTGGTGGTGGACACCTGTAATCCCAGCTACTCAGGAGTCTGAGGCAGGAGATTTGTTTGAGCCTGGGAGGCGGAGGTAGCGGTGAGCCGACACCACACTGTTGTACTTGAGCCTGAGCAACAAGAGTGAAACTCTGTCTCAAGAAAAAAAAATTTAAAATATCAAATCAGCTGACCTCAAAATACAGATTTTCAGGGTAGGCCTGCCCCAGTCAGGTGAGCGCTTGTAAAGCATAATATTCTTTCTGCCTGGTGGCAGATGGGGAAGTCAGAACGGAAGCACGTGGAGCATTACATGCACCCCCAGGAGCAAAAAGCTAAAAGCCAGTGATAAAACAAGACCTCAGTCCTACCAGCCACAAGGACATGAATTCTGCCCACACCTGAATGAACTTGGAAGTAGATTCTCCCCCCAGTTCTCCAGAGAGAAGCCCAGCTTGGCTGACACCTTGATTTCAGCCTCAGGTGAGAGACCCTCAGCGGAGCGCCCAGTCTAGCTTCTTGGACGTCTGACCTACAGGACTGTGAGCTGAGGAATGGGTGTGTCTTAAGCTGCTCCATCCGTGGTCATCATATAGCTCACTGCAGCCTTGACCTCACGGTCCCCAGTGATCCTCCCAGCAGCTGGGAGTGCAGGTGCACATCATCACACCTGGCTAATTTTAAAATTTTCTGCAGAGACCAGTCGCTCTGTGATGGTCAGGCTGGTCTTGAACTCCTGACCTCGAGTGATCCTCCTGCTTCAGCCTCCCAAAGTGCTGGGATTACAGGCGTGAGCCACCGTGCCCAGCCAACTTTTAAATTTTTTGTAGAGATGGAGTCTCACTATGTGTCCACAATCAGAGCTCACTGCAGCCTCCAACTCCTGGCCTCAAGCGAGCCTCCCAACTGGGCCCCCATGCCTGGCCATGGATCTCTCCGTTTACTCTGAGAGCTCATACAGTCTCCTGGCTTAATCTGTCAGTATCTGATGCCCGGTTGCTTTATGGCCCAGCCCAGCGGCTGCTCCCCACCTCCACGTGCCACAGCCAACAGCCATGCCCGCCCTTCATGCCCAACCTGCCCCTCCCACCTCTCCCGACTCAGGATCTGGCTGCTCTGTGCTTCCAGAGCTCAGGCCCAACCCTGAGGGTGTCTTTGACGTGTCTCTCTCCCCACCACCCCACATTCCACTGTCACTCATCCTGCCGGCCGGACCCTTAGGTGCTATCCAGTGTCTGAATGCTCTACACCCCACCCCCTAGATCTTTTTTTTTTTTCTTTTTTGAGAGGGAGTCTCGCTGCAACGCCCAGGCTGGAGTGCAGTGGCGCGATCTCGGCTCACTGTAACCTTCGCTTCCCAGGTTCAAGTGATTCTCCTGCCTCAGCCTCCCGAGTAGCTGGGATTACAGGCGCACACCACCACGTCTGGCTAAATTTTATATTTTTAGTAGAGACGGGGTTTCACCATGTTGGCCAGGCTGGTGATCCTGACCTCAAGTGATCCACCCACCTCGGCCTCCCCAAGTGCTGAGATTACAGATGTGAGCGCCATGCCTGGCTGAGTCACTAGATCTAAGCTGCCACCCTGTCTCCACCAGGATGATATCAGCAACCCCCACCGCGGCCTCCTCCTGGTTTCTCATCCGCACTGTGGCCAGAGGGAACCTGTTCAAATGTGAGTTGGGTCAGGTTCCCCTTCTGCTCTGAACTTGGGTGGCGCACCCTCACTCAGAATGTGAGTCAGCTCAATGCCCTGGGTGTCCCGTGTTCACCCCCACCCCCGCATCAGGGCCTCTGCCAGTCCTTCTGCCTGGAGCCCCTTTCCCCCAGGGATCCACGAGACTCACTGCCCCACTTCCTCAGTGGAGGCCTCCCCGTCCACCTAAAGTGTAAGCCGCTGGGCCCCGTGTGCTTAGACGGGTACGTGGCACGTTCAGGGGTTGCGCTAAGTATCTGCCAAATGGGCCAGGTGTGGTGGCTCATGCCTGTAAAACCAGCACTTTGGGAGGCTGAGGCGGGAGGACTGTTTGAGCTCAGGACTTTGAGACCAGCCTGGGCAACCTGATGAAACCCCATCTCTATTAAAAAAATAAAACAGGCCAGTTGTGGTCGCTCATGCCTGTAATCCCAGCACTTTGGGAGGCCGAGACAGGCGGATCACGCGGTCAGGAGTTCAAGACCAGAATGGCCAACATGGTGAAACCCCGTCTCTACTAAGAAATACAAAAATTAGCTGGGTATGGTGGCTTGTGCCTGTAATCCCAGCCACTTGGGAGGCTGAGGTAGGAGAATTGCTTGAACCCAGACCTGGGAGGCAGAGGTTGCAGTGAGCTGAGATGGCACCACTGCACTCAAGCCTGGGCTACAGAGCGAGACTCCATCTCAAAAAAAAAAAAAAAAAAAAAAAAAAAATTAGGCTGGGCCCCTGGCTCACGCCTGTAATCCTAGCACTTTGGGAGGCTGAAGTGGATGGATCTCTTAAGGTCAAGAGTTCAAAACCAGCCTGGCCAACATGGTGAAACCCTGTCTCTACCCAAAATATAAAAAATTAGCCAGGCATTATGATGTATGCCTGTAATCCCAACTATTGGGAGGCTGAAGCAGGAGAATTGGGAGGTGGAGGTTACAATGAGCCGAGATCGTGCCACCGCACTTCAGTGTGGGTGACAGAGAGAAACTCTGTCACCAAAAAAAAAAAAAAATTAGTGGAGTGTGGTGAGTGCCTATAGTCCCAGCTGCTGGGGAGGCTGAGGTGGAAGGATTGCTTGAGCCTGGGAGGTCAAGGCTGCGGTGAGTTGCAATCGTGACACTGCACTGCACAAGACTCTGTCTCAAAAAAAAGCCCCCCAAACCAAAAACCCTGTAGAACAAATGAGGGGAAGAGTGAATGAAGAGGGCGGTGTCAGCAGCTCCTCTAGTTTGGGGCAGGGAGGGAGACCCCCGGCTCCACCCTGTCCACCTTTCTGCACCCTCCCGCCCCTTCCTTACCCTTGGCAATCTTGATGTCCAGGGCTGTGCGGATCAGAGCCATGAGGGTGGAATTGAAGTGGACGGTGTTGTCATCTGCCACGGGCAGGTCCATCCGCAGAAGCCTCTACAGAAAACCCAAGGTGAGGGCAGTCATTCCTGGGCATCCCTCCTGGGTCTCCCGTGAGCCACGCCCACCCCTACCCAGGGAGTCCCAGGAAGAACTCTGAAGGCGGGCAGCGGCTGAGGCGGCCCCTACTTAGGTTACCTGTCCCAGTACTCAATTTCTCTTGGTGGCCTGTAGGGAGGGGACAAGGGCTCTCCTACACCTCTGGTCCCCTGCCCTCCCCTTTTTCCCACTATGTGCTTGACCTGAGAACTGGTATTTCCAGAGTTGGCCTCAGTCGTTCCCTGCCTCGTTCCGCCCCAGAGTTCTTCTGGACCGCCCCGTGTCGGTCTGATCCCAAAGAAAAAGAGCACAAGCTGGATTTGAGCAGCACGTGCAACAGCCAAGGCTGAGGGGGCCGGGACCACAGCCGCCGGTGGGGGCACCGCTGGCTCCCCACCCCCACCTCCCGGCTTGGCCCAGACCAGGACAGACCAGATGGGCACAGACCACATCATTCCTCTGAGAAGCAGCAGGCAGGCAGCCCCCCACTGATGGGGCAGGCCCCTCGCAGGCATGCAGCGAGGCTGTGACACAGAACAGCACAGACAGGGCGCATGCAGACGGAATCTCGAGACTCATTCATAGCTCCGTGGGAAGTGTATCTCAGGGACTTGTCCGGATCTTGGCTCTCTGTGCAATGGCAGGGGGAAGGGAGGAGGGGCATTCCTGTGGCCCAGGGAAGAAAAGATTCCCCATGTCCCAGGCAGGGGTTCTGTCCGCCGTGCTGGGTGGCATGGGAGAGGATGCTGGGCTGGTGTGCACCAGCCCAGGCTGAGGTGGCACAGAGAAGAGGGGTGAGGTTGAGTTGGGTGGGGATTCGGACACACGTGGGCAGGAAACACAGAACTAGAGATGGGGAGAGGAATGGTAAGCCCAGAGCAGGACACTAGAGGAGACACTGGGGCAGGGTGGGGAAGGAGCTGGGAAACGGAGAAACACAGACTGAGCCTCTGTGCACAGTTGTGCAGGCTGTGCACTGCACAAAGTGCTTCCATCTTGGAAATGATAGATTTATGTACTTATTATTTTTTTCTTTTTGTAGAGATGGGGTCTTGCTATGTTGCCCAGGCTAGTCTCGAACTGGGCTCAAGTGATCCTCCCATCTCAGACTCCCCAAAACACTAGGATTACAGGCACGAGCCATGATGCCTGGCCTCCAATTTGTGCATTAAATACAACAGCTTCCCAGCTAAGAGCAAAGTGTCTTGTTCTCGCCACATTGGTGGACTGCAACAATTTTCCAAAGGACACGTTTTGTAGAAAGGGTGCCTTTTTCAAATTTGCCCCGAGCTGTCTGATGGACCCATGGTGGGCCTGCACCAAGACGAGGAGGGGAAGGGCTCTTCCTCCCTCCTGCATATGCACACACATTCAACTACGCAGACACTGAGAGAAGTGACTTGAGGAAAACTGGGGAGGGGAGCGACAGGTGCGGGGAGAGGCTCCTTGTCTGAGACGCTGGTGGGCCAACCTTGTCCCCGGCTTTGACTGAGAAGTGAGGGGAGACATAGAGGTTAGGTGAGGAGTGGTGCACAGAGGAAGGAAAGAAAGGAGCTTGTGGGGAGGCGGCGACATGGGGCGGGCACAGATAGCACTGATGATGGGGACGCAGGGAAGGTCAAGGTGGACGGGAGAATAGGTTGATAGGGTAGTATTTTTTGGGTGGGAAGAATCTTTAAAGGTCATCCCGGAACTTCTCGTGGATGAGTGGAGGAAACAGAGCATCTGTCCTTGGGCGCCAAGGGAGATTCCAGGACAGGGATCTGGAGGGGTGGCCCGGCGCAGCCGCTTGGCGGCAGGACGCTCGTTTGCTCAGCCAGCATGCACCACCCCCCGTCGGCCATGGTGCCTGCCCGCCCCGGGCCCCGCCAAGGCAGCGTGCATGGCCTGCATCAGTGTGCCACCGTCCAGGGGTCCAGCTGCGGCCGCCTGCCCACTCTAGAACAATGGAGAGGCATGTTGGGGTGTCTTGGGCAGATTAGGGATGGGGGCTGGGGACGAAACTCCATGGGAGGGAAGGGAGGGGAAGAGAGGTTCCTGGTGCTCCTTGGAAGGTCTCTAATCCCCCAAGGCCCTAGGTCAGAGATCAGCTTCAGGTGTGCGTGGCAGGGGTGGGGAGCTGGGGGCTCGAGGCACAAAAGATGGGCCTGGGACCTTGCCTGCTCTTGGGGGCTTAAGCCCCTCTCTGCAAGGCGCCTGCCCCGGCCTGGGCATGGGAGGGCGGGAGACGTGGGTTTTGACTCCCTGAAGAAGTGTGTTTGTTTCCAATTTGGTACCTGGGAGACCAGGTGCAAGGGGACCTGGGCGCTCCCCTCCCCCTCCCCCCGGCGTGTCGGCCATAATGGAGTCTCAGAACACGAAGACACTCATCAGAAAGGACGGACACAGTGTGCTGCTTGGAATCGAGGGATGGTCATGATCAGTTCACTCAAGAAAAGAAAAAAAAAGAATCAAAAACAAGAAGAGAAACGCTGGAAAAAGAGAGTCGGCTGGGTGTTTCTGGTCAGCACTAAAAAAAAAGAAAAAGGAAAAAAAAAAAACCCAGCGCCTGGACGTCGGTGGTCGGCAGGGTAGTCTACCTTGTAAGCCACTCTGGCCGGGCACTTCTTCCCCAGACCCAGGGGCGGGGACATGTGTCTCAGCATCTGATACATGTCCAGGTAAGGCATGCGGCCCCTGGCAGCACCGAAAACAAAAAAACAAAAACAAAACGGGAATGGGAACAGAGAACCAAAGGGAGAGGGGTGGGAGGAACAGAAGAAGGAAGAAAGAAATCCACACGAGCCGAAAAAATAGAGAGAGAAAGATGCAGAGAATGACAAAATAGATATTTCAAATCAATGGAAAAGAGGAGAAAAAAATGGAAGAAAAGGTCATTAAAAAAAGATTACTTCACTGCTCGGGAGCAGGGAGAGAGAGAAGAGAAAAGTCAGATTCAGCTTGGGCTCTGAGCTATGGTTCTGGAGGGACGTGGAGGGAAGGGGGGATTCTCACTTTGGAAGACATACATCCATGCTTTTGTTCATTGCTTTTTTTTTTTAAGAGACAGGGTTTCCCTCTGTCGCCTAGGTTGGAGTGCAGTGGTGTGATCATAGCTCACTGCAGCCTCCACCTCCTGGGCTCAAGCAATCCTTCTCCCTCAGCCTCTGGAGTAGCTGGGACTACAGGCACTTGCCACCAAGCCCAGCTAAGTTTTTTGTAGAGAAGGGGGTTCTTGCTATGTTCCCCAGGCTGGTCTTGAACTCCTGGGCTCAAGTGATCCTCCTGCCTCAGCCTCCCAAAGTGCTGGGATTACAGGCATGAGCCACTGCACCCAGCCATCATTGCCATTTCTAAAGTTGGGTCATGTTCTCTGGTTTGGCTGAGGCTGGTCTCTGAGGGGGCCTAGGTGGGGAGGAGGGGCTGGGGCCGGGGAGAAGAGGTGGACTGGGGCTTTGGGAGGTGAGGGGTGGAGGGGGAGAGTGTGGAGGTGATGGTGGGGGGAGAAATGCAAAGTTACAATCCCCCAGGGGATGTGTCTGATTTGGGGTGCCGTGGAGACCCCAGGATGGGCAGCTTCAGCTAAGAGCAAGCAAAGATGGCTGAAGGCTGAAGGGAAGGAAGAAATATGTTCCATGCTTCATTGGTCTACATGACTGCATTCTGTTGGCTAAGAGAGTTTTCTAGTTTAATGCAAGAGAGAGAGATGGCTCTGTTTTTTAGATATATATATATATATGAAATATATATATTGAAGAACCCCAAGCCACACTCATTCCATGGATGCTAGCAGGTTTTAGTGGAAGTCAAACCTTGCAAGCAACCCTATGAGGACATTTCTTGCCTAAGCCGAGAGGGGGAGATATTACTCGCAATAAACTGTACATATCCTTATAATGAATCCGACCGCTGAAAGGAGAAGAAAGGGGGTTAGTGCAGGCAGGGTGTTCACGCGGGCTCCCTGGGCACACGGCGAGCTCATGATGCTTGAGGCAGGGGTCTCCCTGGCTTGCAGGAGTGGGAGAGACTTGGGACAAGTGAAAGTCTCCAGACACTGGGGAGACCCAGGACTGGAGGATTTCAGTCGGGGTGTGCCAGGGGTTCTGTACTGCAGGGCACCTCCCCTGGGGCTCTCTCTGCATCTGCCTCCTCCACAATCTACATGGGCTACAGGGGGCGGGGGGAGCATGTGGAATAGAGGACTTGGGGACAGCATCCAACTGCTGTGACCTAAAATCAAAAGAGGAAGAGTTAGGAACCAGCCAAAAGCCAAGCCCCACACCCACGGCTCTCCCCAGCCTCTCGGTCTCCTGGAGGACGTACCTGATGCTTCGGGAATAGCAAGACCACCTCCTGCCCACCTTCCTCGTGGGGCTTCCTCTCCAGCACTGAGGCCAGAGGAAGATGGGGCTTAGCCTGCTGAGGGCCCCCTCAGTAATGCTTCTTCAGGCCCCAAGCCTAGCCTGGACTAGAATCCTCAGTCAGTGGCTGGTAGGCTCCAGGTATTTGGACAGATCCCCGAGTGCCCTTCAAGGCTTGGTGTTGGGTGGGCATTCAATACACGTGTACAAGTTGGAACCCACCCTCTGAAACCATTGCCTGTCAGTGACGAGGGGGCTCTCTGGTGTCTACCCAGATGGGAGCACCCACTGCCTTTGTGGCCACAAAGATGCGAGGGCCCCTGAGGCTCTGTGCCCTCCCTGGCCTGTGTGACCTCTCACTCCGAGGTTCACGGGTCCCAGCAGGAGCTGAGTTCTGCCACCCGGATGTTGCAACTCACCCTGTCTGCCAAGGGCAGGCTAGCCTCCTCCCTACACTCGCGGGAGAACTGAGGCTGAGGACTGTTGGCTTTCTCCCTGGAGCCTGGCTAATGCGTCCTCACCATCTGGAGACTTCACAGTGAGAGACGGGAGAGGCTCGTAGGAGGAGAGGGCTCTTGAGGACACGTCATGGCTGATGCCCTCCCTCATTTTCCAGAAAGTCCAGGGTTTGGGCAGCGTTGGCACCCCACATGTCTAATCTGGGGTATGCAAGGACGATGATTCTTATGCCTTCTCTCCTGACTGAACCTGTGAGACCCCTGCTAGGACCCCTGGAGCCCAGTGCTCCTGGGTCTGGGGCCTGACCGAGCTGTTCCAGTTCCCGGGAGAGGCGTGTATTGTGGCTGGAGGATTTGGGGTGATTTCTTACCAAGCTGCAGGGTCATACTCGGCCCAGACACGCACGTACTCATCCAGGTGGTGGGGGCCCAGGATGGAGGAGTCTCGGGTGAGGTACTCAAAATTGTCCATGATGACGGCGACAAAGAGATTCAGCATCTGTGGGGACACCGGGGACCAAGATGGAGTCGGGGCAGAGATGGAGGGAATGAACGAGTGAGGGTGAAGGATACGGACAGACAGACCCAAACACATATACAGAGGCCCAGATGGAGCCAGGGATAGAGAGATGGGAAAGGAAATGAGTCAGAGAGATGGGGGGACAAGGAGGGCCAGTGAGAGGGAGATCAAGTGTAGAGATGGAAGAGACAGAGAGACAGAGAGAGATGGAGAGAGATACAAAGAGACAAAGACCAGCCGGGCGTGGTGGCTCATGCCTGTAATCCCAATACTTTGGGAGGCCAAAGTAGGCAGATCACTTGAGGGCAAGAGTTCAAGACCAGCCTGGCTAACCTGGTGAAACTCCATCTCTACTAAAAATACAAAAATTAACTGGGTTTGGTGGTGTGCGCCTGTAATCCCAGCTACTTGGGAGGCTGAGGCAGGAGAATTGCTTGAACCTGGGAGGTGGAGGCTGCAGTCAGCTGAGATCACGCCACTGCACTCCACCCTAGTGACAGAGCAAGACTCTGTTTCAAAGAAAAAAAAAAAAAAGAAAAAAAAAACAAGAATGACGGAAAGAGACAGAGTCAGTGAGAGAGGGAGCGGAGGCTAGGACCAACACCAAGAGAACCACCGTGACCCCAAATCCTCCCACATCTGCCCCCAGCAAGGCCAAATTTTTCCTATTTTTATTTTTATTTTCAATTTTGAGACAGGATCTCACTCTGCCACCCTGGCTGGAGTGCAGTGGTGTGATCATGGCTCACTGCAGCCTCGACCTCCAGGGCTGAAGTGATCCTCCCACCTCAGCCTCCTGAGTAGCTGGGACTACAGGTGTGCAGCACCATGGTACAGCTAGCTAATTCAATCTTTTTTTTTTTTTTTTCTGAGACAGAGTCTCACTGTCTCCCAGGCTGGAGTGCAATGGTGTAATCTTGCTCACGGCAACCTCCATCTGCCTCAGCCTCCCAAGTAGCTGGGATTATAAGCACCTGCCACCACACGTAGCTAATTTTTGTACTTTTAGTAGAGACAGGGTTTCACCATGTTAGTCAGGCTGGTCTTGAACCCCTGACCTCAGATGATCCGCCTGCCTCAGGCTCCCAAAGTGCTGGGATTACAGGCGTGAGCCGCTGCACCCGCCCTCAATTTGTTTTTTTTGTTTAAAGAGATGGGTTTCGTCATGCTGCCCAGGTTGGTCTTGCATTCCTGGGCTCAAGTGACATTCCCACCTTGGCCTCTCAAAGTGCTGGGATTACAGGCATCAGCCACTACGCCTGGCTGAAATATTTCACTGGGTCTCAAATGGGGGAATTCTGTCCCCGACTCCCACCCCCATCCCCCAGGGGCATTTGGGAATGTCTGGAGACCTTTGTGGTTGTCGAAGCAGGAGAAAGGGGTGGTGTGTGCTGCTGGCATCTGGCGGGGGGAGGACAGCGATGCTGCTAAGTACTGTGCAGGCGCAGCGTGACCCCACTCCAAAGAATCAGCCAGCCCCAAATGTCAACAGCTCTGAGTTTGAGACGCTCAGGGTCACCTGATCCCAGGCTGGTTCAAAGAAGTCTTGGAGGGAACAAACCTTTGACACAGCCACATTCTAGAGAAACCCACTCCCCTGAAAGGGAGACAGACTTAGGGAGCCCACCCGGCCCTCACGGTGTCCACAGACTCACCAGAAATGAGCAGAGGAAGATGAAGGAAACGAAGTAAAAATAAGCAAATTCATTGCCACACTCTCGAGTCAGGATGCCAGAGTTTTTATCACAGGGTTTCCCGCTGAGGCAGGAGAGCATGATGTTGTGCCACGCTTCCCCGGTGGCACTCCTGAAGACAGGGAGAAATCAGAGGCTCGGGCACCCAGCCCCAACTGGGCACCAACGCCTCCCTGGGAGGTGGAGCACACATGGGTTCTGGCACTTGGGTTCTGGAGCTGGCCAGGCAAGTCCCAGCTGGATCACCACCTCCTTTTTCTGGGAGCTGTGTACTGAAGTCCACAGGGAGCTTTGAAAAAATACCAATACCCCATCCCAGCAGACTTGGATTCGACTGGTCTAGGGTAAGATTTGATGTGTATGGTGTGTGCCCTCCCTTCCCTCTTTTCCCTTCTCTCCCTTCCCTTCCTCCCTTTCTCCTTTCCTTCCTTCCTCCTCTCTTTCTATCTTTTGACAGGGTCTTGCTCTGTTGTCCAGGCTGGAGTACAGTGGCACAATCACTGCTCACTAGAGCCTCAACCTCCCAGGCTCAGGTGATCATCTCACCTCAGCCTCC